CCAAATTTTTTATAAAGAATTTGAGATCCTGTCATACAAAAAAGCCAGACATAGGATAGTATAATTTAAAAGGAATAATAATTTTAAAAATTAGAGAACCAACTCACAAAAACATAATCTATTTGGTTATTTTTTAAAAATACGCACTAGCCTCAATACTGTGAAGACCTGATTTCTACCCTCAGAGAGGTGATAATCTAGTTGATTCTTGGTGACCGTCCTTCTCCTAGTTCTGTAGAAGCACCTCCAGTTTAACAAGCACCAGTTCACAGACCGCCCAGTGTGCAGTTGGCCGGTCGCATAGTCAGCCCCAGTTGAGCCACACCTGCTGCGGGAACCACTGTGAGAAAAGCCTTTACCCCGCCAGGGTTCCACGCTGTGCTCCGTCCTCTCGAGCTTGGCATTCCCTGGTTTAAGATCCATTTAGATTGACAGGTAACCTTCTATTTGAAATGCGTGTGGTTTTTGAGGAGTGAGAGGCAAAAGCATCTTTGATTGTTAATTATGTTACAAAGTAATGCATGTTAATTATTTCATATGTAAATTAGTTAAGTCAAACTTATTTTCTGAAACTGATGCTTGGGTCAAGTTCTTAAGGGAATGGTTGGAAGTTTAGACTCGGATTGGAGGAGACAGGTGACTGTGTGTACCTGGCATCCTTCAGTGAGGGCAGGCTGGACAGACAAGTGTCTGGAGAACAGAGGGGATGTCAGAGCAGGGACCTGGGCACCAGGAGGGGCAGAGAAGGACATTTTGTAGAACTTAGAATTTTGCCAACCCAGCACTGTACTTGAAAAGGGGAGAAAAGTATTGTCTTTCTATTTCCTGTATCATGTGACACCTGCCCCCCGATTTAGGCTCACATTCTGGGTACAGTAGGTTGCTAGTTCTCAAACCAACAAACTCAGTTCCCCCTTTTAGAACCTTTTGTGACATGCAGAAATAAAATCTGTAGATAATATAGCCTACCTACACACGTAATTCTAAAAAAAGAAGAGGAGAGTATAGTAGCCTAACTACATAAAGGAAAAATAACCAGAAAGAAATATGTAAAAATGTTGTACATTTTAGTATGTGAGTGCCTGGGGACGGACACATGGTGAGGCCAGCACAGGGAAGGAGTCAGTGCTGCGTGTGGGCAGGGGCTCTGCGAGGGGCTGGGAGGCAGGTGACTTGGCGAGCCCCGCCGTCCGTGCTGGGTTCCTGCGGTGCTCAGCAGCTCTCCAGCTCCAAGCAGCGTGGCGCACCCGTCCCTCAGCTCACGCAGTACTGCAGCCCTAGAGCATGCGATGTGTGTCAAAGCTGTGCGTATATGTTCTTGTGGTTATTTACAAAGTAGAATTGATTCTAATCTCAGATCATTGTAAACAGGGAGTCTGCACACACGAGTGTGTAGTGGGCACCGAGGTCGTGCGGGACATGGAGCGGTTCTTTGTCATGTGGGACTCCCCTTTGCCTGGCAAGGCATCTGGCACCTCCGAATGCAGCCCACTGAGGCGGTGCCCCCATCACTGAGGCAACCTCTGCAGCTTTCCAGAGCTGCCACCCCCACTGGGAGTTGCTGTTTTCTGCTTCCATGGGCTCCCATAGTAACCCAACCCTTTAATTACTGTTTATAAGGGAAATTATTTCATGGCCAAAAGAACTGGCACATTATTAGAATTATAGACAGTTTCTAACTTGGGGGCTGCCACCGTCAGTTATTGAGTCACACCTCTTGTGGAGAGTTTGGACATCATATAGATAATCCATGGAAATTTTTTGCCTCTAAAATTGGCATTTACTGAAAAGTGTGGAACCATGAGGCAGTCAGTAACCCAGTTTATCGTAAGATGTGCCGTGGGCGTGTTTTCCGTATCCGAGTGCTGGGTGGTCACCGTCTCCCTGTCTGGAGGGGCAGCGACTGAAGAGTGGTTACCCAGGGCACTGCAGATCCTAACCTGTGGTTTTAATCGTGCAGCCGAGACACAGGTTTTCTGACTCCAAGTAAAGTGTGCTCTTTCCCCCCAAGTTAGGGTCTCTGGGTCACGGGGCTCGTGGGGATCCCGTGGAGCTGTTAGAAAACGCACTTGCTGCGGTCCCATCCCCGAACCCCTTCTTAGACGGGAAGGTGCAGGCCTCGTGCTAGCAGGCACCTCCCAGGAGATCAAATCGTTGTGGAACAAGGTGCGTGGTGCTCCTGCGGGCAGAGAGCAGGCTGGCTGGGACGTGGAGGCCCCTCATCTGCGAATCTGTGTGTCCTCTCCCCACCCCCTTTAATTATACACAGAACGTCTCAGGTTGGAGACTTCTGGGAGGTGAGAATCACGGCTATGTGTGACAGTTTGCACGCGCGACCCTGAGGTCAGTGCACTGAGAGCCCGAGTTTATGCTCCACGTCAGTGGTGGTTTTCTCTGAGTGTGCATAATTTGGAGTATACTCAGCTTGTGGGCTGTGAAAGTTACTTTCTGAAGGTCTGGTTTTAGACACCAAAAATGTACTTCAAACTCAACGGCAGTGCACCCGAAGGGCTAGAGGGAATGTTAATGAGTACGTAGGGTCCTGGGTTTTGGGGAGCACAGACTTTGGGGTCCCCCTCCCGTGGCTGTGACCTGTTAGCGGGATGCAGCCTGGGGCCAGCGGACAGGGTGGGGGCTGAGGCCATATGGTCACCCCAGGCCACATGGTCACTTCGAGGTGGCGTCTGATGGCAGTGCTGAGGAGGGTGCACAGCCTGGGTGTGGCTGGGCTCTGTCCTTTGCTCTCACCTTGACTGTTACTCAGCGTCTCTTGCCAGCAGATCACAGAGCTGGAGCCTTCGGCTGAATTCTCCAGCTATTTAATCATAGGAAGGTGTTCCTAGCCTTAGGTCCCACTGCTTGGGAAAAATCACAACATCTGTGCTGTCAGAGCAGGAGGCTGTCTGAGCTCCATGGCTGGGACATGAGGGTACAGCCTGGAGCCCCAGGAATATCTCAGGGTCTTTGGGCCAAAGCCTGTCCTTGACCCTGTTGCCCAAACAAAGGATAACTTCAGGGGTGTCTCCACCTTCCGAGGGCATGCGCAGCTATGTAGTGTTGGAGGATTTGACCAGATGCCGGTTATGCTGATAAGGATAACAGAAGATTGGAGATGATGGTATCCCTAAGATAGAAGAAAAGCCAAGACTTGAGAGGAGGGTCCTTGACTTAGTCATAGCCAGGGGATCCCAGAGCTCTGTGTGTCACTGCGCCACCTCCCTGTGCCCTTCTCCCCTCCATCTGTAGTTCTTTCTTGATACTTAGCCAAGTCTATAGGCATTAATATGGCAGGGATAATAATTAATGGGATACACACCCCAACTTTATCCCAAACCCTTGGGGTGCATAATATCCCCAGTAGGGCCTGGGGCATTCACCTGTGGTGAGACATGTATCTTAGTATTTCCATAAAACTTTTATTTTCGTCCTAAAAGGAGTGAATGGAGATTGTGTATAATCTCCTGTTAGTTTACTCATTCCAAATACCTAACATTTATTAAGCCAAGAACTAAGTTATTAGCTGCATACTCTCATTTGTATTTCTTACTATTGAGCGGGGCAGATACTAATGTTATCCCCATATTGTTAACATGTGAGGAAAGTGAGGCCGCGGAAGATAAGTAATTTGGCCAAGTAAATTCAGTAAATTGGAGTTTTTTGGGCCATGGTTTTATTTTGAAAAATGTATACCTTCCCCCAAATTTCAACAATAATTTAGTGAACATACCTTTATTTTCCCCCGAGAATCTCCACTTGTGTACAGTTTGTGACATTTGCTTTCATCTCTTCTCTGTCTGTGTACCTGTATCCCTCGGTCTGGATTGTCTGAGTTCTCCCATTTGATTTGGGTGTTGCCTTTTTGGCAGGGTCCCCGCAGCAATGGTGTTATGTCCTTGGAGGGGACACCTGAACATACAGTTTGTCACATTTGGGGGTTTGAACTTCGACTATTGGGTTAAGGTGGCATCTGCTAGACCATCCACACTTTTTTCTTTGCAGTTGCTACAGAATCCGGGTGGGGGCAGTTCTTTGGGACGTGCATGATGCTCGGTCCTACCTGCTGCTCCTGCGGGTTCCGCACCCCCCCCCACCCCATTCCAGCGACAATTCCTCCTGATCTGTGGCAGTTCCATTTCTCTCATTCTGTAAAGAACTTTCCCCACCCATCCTTTTAGTTCTGCTTTCAGAAACCACATGGACTCAAGGATCCTTGTTTATCTGAACAGTTATAACCCGTTTCTGCCTTTGCATTGGAGCTCACATTATCTAGGTGGTCACCACCCCGAATAGAGGTGGGCTTGGCTGTCTGGTTCCTTTTAGGGAGCTCCTAAAATTTGGAATTTCCTGAGTGTTAGAGTGTCTTTTGATATTCATGATGAGCCTTTTTGATCACACTTGAGTTTATGCCAATGCACTAGCTTATGGGTGGGCCCCGGGTACCAGAAAAAACCGGTGATTAGAGCGCTGGAACTTTCAGGCCCACCCACTGACCTGCATGAAGGCGTAGGGGCGGGGTGGGGGTCTGCTAGAGATCAAGCTCTATAAAATCTCTTGGACAGGCCGGGCACAGTGGCTCACGCCTGTAATCCTAGCTCTCTGGGAGGCCGAGGCGGGCGGATTGTTTGAGCTCAGGAGTTCGGGACCAGCCTGAGCAAGAGCGAGACCCCGTCTCTACTAAAAATAGAAAGAAATTAATTGGACAACTAAAAATATATATAGAAAAAATTAGCTGGGCATGGTGGCGCATGCCTGTAGTCCCAGCTACTCGGGAGGCTGAGGCAGGAGGATCGCTTGAGCCCAGGAGTTTGAGGTTGCTGTGAGCTAGGCTGACACCACGGCACTCTAGCTGGGGCAACACAGTGAGACTCTGTCTCAAAAAAAAAAAAAAAAACTCTTGGACAGCAGCGTTTGGTGTTTCCAGGTTGTGTGAACACAGTGCCTGGAGAAGGCATGGGCACTCCATGCCTTCCCACGTCTTGCCCTGGGCATCTCTCCCATCTGGCTGTGTATCTGGATCCTTTGTCATAGCCTTTGTAATAAAGCAGTAAACGTAAGAAATAAAAAAACAGAAAAACAACTCAATAGCAGCCAGATTCTTTCTGTCCCTGCCCCTTTCTAGGGCCCTGGCCCTCCCTACGTGGGATTTCCCAGCAGGCTGAGTTGTGGAAGGAGCCAGGGTCGCCTCTTTGGGCAGGTTACATAAGCCCATCAGGATGTGTGATTCTGCCTGTCCGTGTGGAATGGGGAGTTTGCAGCTTTGGAGATTATCTATGTGGACTCATTTTGCTTTTTTTAAAAAAGCCTTCAATTTTGAAAATACTGCTTTCCATTTTTCTCATTCTCAAAGGCTGGATTTTTCTTTCTTTAATGGCCTGTCACACTCTAATGCTCAGTGTGAAAGCCAGTGCAGGCTTACAAAGCCCAAAGTAAAGCAACTGCCAATGCCAAGTGCACACCTGTGGTTCCACTGCACCCTCTGACCTTTGCCTCTGCTCGTCTTAAACCCCTGCACTCACTCACGGCACGACGTTTATGCCACTGAGCACACTGCACGCGTGAGTTGCTGTGTTTGTTGCTAAGATATCAGGGTCGTTTTCCCAGGCTTGGCTACCTGTCCTGAGCATTTGAGTTAGGAGCACAGAGCAGATACTGGCCTAGTAAGCCGGGCCTTTGGAGCCAGTTTGACTCAGCAGTTTGCAGTCAGCCACTGGCCCTGCCCTGTCCTCTGGGAGGCTGGCTTGTCCCCTCCTTTACCTTTGGTAACTGCTTGGCCATCAGGTCTGGTTCTGATACATGTTTGAAAGCCATATGGACTAAATTTCTGTTTTTTGGTCAGTAAGTGATTCAGTTTTTGTCCAACTGAAATAAAGATACTGAGGTTTTTTTTTTCTCAAAAGCCATAAAAAATAATGAGATTGGAGTTGGCATGGTACAGTCTTGATGCTGGAGGCACATCTGTGCAGTGGTGGCCAGGGGCCACACGCCCAGTCTTGCCTTAGCTCCTCTAGAGTCATAGGCTGCCCAGCCCGGCATTGCCCTGACTGGGTCATGGTCTCAGCAGCTGTTTGAGCTGCCCGTGTCCCTGACAGCAAGTCGTTCTGGAGGGTTTGCGGGAGTGGAGATTGGGAGAGGGGCAAAGAATGGAGATTGTGGAGGGTGCGTGGTGAGGAGCTGGGCCCTGCGTGGGCGGCATCCACGCTCCGCATCATCAGGGCCAGTGCCTGGTGGCACTGACTGCATGTGGTGCCTGCGGAGGTTCCTGTGTGCGTAGCCTCTTGTATTTTTATTTTTCATTTGTTTTTAGAGATGGGGCCTTGCTATGTTGCCCAGGCTGGTCTTGAACTCCTGGGCTCAAGTGATCCTCCTGCCTCGGCCTCCCACAGTGCTGGGATTACAGGCATGAGCCACTGCACCCGCCTGACTAGTATTTTTATTAAAAATAGTTTGTCTTGCTCTTCTGCCATCCACTCCCGCTCCCTCTTTCTGCCTCCAGATGAATTTATCCACTAGCCTCACCCTCCATTCACTTAAGAATAAAGTGCTGGAATGTGGGACTCTATTGTTTATACCCTTGGTGTTATTAAAAACCAAGAGGCCAGTGTTACAGCTCTTTTAGAATTTGTCTAGCAGGCTTTCTGGTTCTCACCAGAAGAACCCCCCAAAAAACCAAGAGCCCAAGTGCTTGATGACACTAGGCATAGCTTTCAGGCTGGACGTTAGAGGTGGTTTAACATCTCCGTTTCCCGATTCTGATGGAGCACTTCAGAGTCAGGCACCTGTTTGTGAAGCCGGGAGAGTGTGAGGGGCTTCAACAAATCTAGATGCTCGTGCCCAGGCCTAGAGCTCCAGCCATCTGCCAAGTGACCACTGGACATTTTTGAATTCTTACCCAAGACAAACTCTATTTATTTATTTATTCTTATCTTAAATTTCAAAATTTTAAGGGGGCAAAAGTGTTTTTGTTACATGGATAGCTTTTATAATGCTTAAGTCAGGGCTGTAAGTGTGCTATTACCTGAATAGTGTTCATTGTACCTGTTAGGTAGGGTTTTACCCCCCTCCTCTCCTTTCCCTCTTTCTTGATTTCTGATGATTTTTACTTTTCTCTCTGCCCATGTATACCCATCAATTAGTTCCAAATTGTTAGAGAGTACATGTGGTATTTGTTTTCCTTTCCATTCTTGAGATACTTCACTTAGGATAATGGTCTCTAGTTCCATCCAAATTGCTGCAGAAGACATTAATTCACTTCTTTTTATGGCTGAGTAGAACTCCACCAAGACGAACTCTTGAAGATTTTTTTTCTGTTGGTCAGAAGTGAAGAGTAACAAATATGGACTGGTTTTGAACGTCCTTTGTTAGATTCTCTCTGAAGGTCTCTCTCTTGCAGGTGGTCCCGACAACCAGGTCCACTTTGAAGGGTATCAGGTGTCCAATCAGTGCATGGCGCTGGTACGCGATGAGTGTTTGCTGCCGTGCAAGGACGCCCCTGAGCTCGGCTACGCCAAGGAGTCCAGCAGTGAGCAGTATGTGCCTGATGTATTTTATAAGGTAAAAATACAGTAAGAAATGAATTACACGGAGAACAGTGTGAAGCTGTCATGGAAATAGGGTGGTGGGCTCTCTGCCTGCCACCTCGCAGTGAGTAGCTGGGTCAAATCTGACTTGTGTTTTGATGAAACTCAGTCTGCTGTTGGTTCTTCACTTTCTCCAGAGTGCAGTCCTTCAGGGTTTCCATGTGAAAGCCTGGCAGAGCTCTTTGTAAGGTGACAGCCCACCTTAAATCTTCGTCCACTTGGCCCCCAAACAGACTGTAGGAGATGCAGTCTGTTCATAAGCTTCCGATTTTGCTCCTGCCTCATGCAGCTTAAATACGTGGGCCTCCTGTCCCACACACCTTAAAAATTTTGCAAATATCTTGAGCGAGAAAGTGGCTGCAAGTGTGAAGTCCCTGCATCTCTGACTTTGTCACTCCAACAAAAACCCCTTCTTTAGCCCCGATCATCTGTGATACACCCTGCCATCAGTCCTGTCCACACATCGTGGGTGTGTTTCTGGACTCCGTTCTGTTCTGTTGGCCAGTTTTCCTAAACCGACACCAATATCATACTCCCTTTAATGCTCTCAGTGTAATTCTTTTTTTATTTTTTGAAACTGGGTCTCACTTTGTTGCCTGGGCTGGAGTGCAGTGGTGTTATCACAGCTCACTGCAACCTCAAACTCCTAGGGTCAAGCGATCCTCCCACCTCAGCCTTTGGAGTAGTGGGGACTACAGGCGCGCACCACCATGCCCAGCTAATTTTTTTATTTTTTGTAGAGACAGGGTCTCACTGTGTTGCTCAGGCTGGTGTCGAACTCTTGGCCTCAAGTGATCCTCCTGCCTTGAGCTCCCAAAGTGCTGGGATCATAGGTGTGAGCCGCCCGCTCGGCCACGCAGTCATTCTTTCCACGTGTTAAGTCACAGCCCGGCTTTGCTTTTCTTCCGGAGCCCTGATGTCCTTGGCCCTTTCCTCTTCCAAGTGAATTTTAGAATCGGCTTGCCAAGTTGTGCTAAAACCAAACAATTGTGTTAGGATTTCATTGAGAACTTTTCAGGGCTGAGTCCTCCCCCTGTGAACTGGTCAGGTGCTGCATTTGCCCCAGTGATCCTTAGTGTCTCCCACAAAGGTTTGTGGTGTTGTTTGTTAGATTATTACCAAGTGGTTTAGCTTTTTATTCATATTGGCGTCATTTTAAAATTACATTTCAAACTTCTGCTGTTTGAAACAGGTTAAACAGGTTAAATTTTTATCCAGCAACTTTGCTGTTATTTATTCTTATCTATACATCTCGTCTTTTGGGTTTTCTACACAGTTGTATTATCCGTGAGTGACAAGCCGTTTCTTCCTCTCTGTCATTAGCCCTTTCTTTTTTGGCTTGCCGTGCTGCTGGCAGTGGGGGCCACCAGCATCTTGGTCTTGTTTGTCATCGTAAAAGAAGTGCTTTTGGAATTACATCATTAACTATGAGTTTGCTGTGGGTTTATTTTTTCATTTTTTTAATTTGGAAAAGGAGAGCTTTATTTCTCATAAAGGGTTATATTCCATGGTGGCCATTCCTGCAGGCTGGGAAACGGGGCTCCCAGCCACAAGCCAGGAACATGTGCTTCCTGGCAGGGACGGTGGAACAGGGATGTATACGGAGCGAGGAGCTAAACATGTATTTTTTTTTTTTTTTTTTTTGAGACAGAGTGTCACTCTTTTGCCCGGACTAGAGTGAGTGCCGTGGCGTCGGCCTAGCTCACAGCAACCTCAAACTCCTGGGCTCAAGTGAACCTTCTGCCTCAGCCTCCTGAGTAGCTGGGACTACAGGCATGCGCCACCATGCCCGGCTAATCCTTTCTATATATTTTTAGTTGGACGATTAATTTCTTTCTAATTTTAGTAGAGGCGGAGTCTCGCTCTTGCTCAGGCTGGTCTCGAACTCCTGAGCTCAAACAATCCGCCCGCCTCGGCCTCCCAGAGAGCTAGGATTACAGGCGTGAGCCGCCGCGCCCGGCCTAAACATGTATTTTAACAGGTCATAGGAGGAGTCATGAGTGTGCACGGAAGGAGAACTACATGCCTGCGCAGTGGGACTCTGTCCTCTTATGGGGTCCATGTGTAAGAATGGCCGCCCCCCATGTCAGAAAGGTGAAAAGAGGACCCGGAAGCCCTCTCTGTGCCTGTTCTGTACAGTGTTAGAACCGCTTCGTGGTGGGTGGTTTTTTATCAGAAAAGAATGCTGGTCTGGCGCTTAGGAAATAAAGCCTGGTTGGCTGTCCGCAAGGGAGGGTGAGATAGTGCGTGGCCAGCCTCCCATCCCGTCATGTCTGGGACTCAGTTTTAAGGTTTCTCTGGGGGTCCCCTTGGCTGAGAAGGGTCCATTCAGTCAGTGGGGGGCTTAGGATTTTATTTTTAGGTCACAGTTGCACCTTTTGATCAAGACATGCCAGAGGCCACACTTTGTTTTATCTTATTATTGCTGGGGTGGTGTGGCTACCTGCCTTTGGTGGAACCCCTGTGGTGTGGGGTTGTTTTTCAATACCCTTTATCAGCTTGGAAACCTGCTTTTTTATTTCCAGGTCTTATTATAATTTTCTTTTACCTAAGAGTAGAGCTTCCTTTTGTCATGAAATATGTGGTATTTCCTTAACCATTCTGTTGGTTTCATTGATTGTTTATTTGCCCTCTGTTAGAATAGGCTAGAAGTGCTTTCCGAATTGTTTATAGCCCTGTAGGATTTGAGACACTCATTTTTCATGTTTCAGGAAAACATCAGTTTGAGCAGAGAGAACTATAAAAGCAAACATTTAAGTAATCCTTTTAGTCTTCCTGTGGACTTTGCAGTGGAATTTAAAATATGCCTTGTAAACAAGACCCGCACCAATGTTTGTCTAAGGCTGTTGTTCATCATGGTGTTGTCTGTGCTGATAAAAATTGGAAACAATTGAACAGTCCAGTAACAACAGGATATTAAGTTATTATACATCTGTAAGTTAGAATAGTATATGGTCACTAAAGGCATGTGTTCTGCAAATTACTTAAAGATACAGCATAAAACTCATGACGTAAAATTAAAAGTGCACCTACATAGAGAGTGTAATCCAGTTACTTTTGCTTTTTGAAGACGCCTGTAGATGTCTACACGTGTGTGTGGACACACATTGCATGTGTGTGTGCATGGTCTGGGGGTGCTTGTCTGCAGCTCCACTCTGGCCTATGCCTCTGGTCAGAGGAGGCAGACAGGTGAGGAGAGGTGGACACAAAGATGCCTAATGTTGAAGAAGTAATTTGAATGTCCCTGTATGTGACATTCCACATGTTTTTTAAAAGAGCTTAAGTGCACACGGACGGCTGTGTGAGGACCAGAGGCTTTTCCTAAGGGGACTGGCTGTGCTTGTCCCCAGGGCCTTCAGGGGGCACGCAGTGGGGCTTCTCCCTTTTTGTCTTTCTGTGCAGCTGTCACACCACAAGTGTTCCTTTTGTGATTTAAAACGTGTTAAACAAGGTTGTCGTATCACACCTGTTCCCTGTGGAAAAAGATGAAGACGATGTATTGAGTGATAACCACTGTTTGCATCTAGTATGGTCCCTCTGTTCTTTTCAATTTAAAAAAAAGAATTGTAATTATACAGAATAAATGAGTACACTTACTGCCTCTGTGGCCAAATCAGAATGTTTTTGTTTTTTTTTTTTTTTTTGAGACAGAGTCTCGCTTTGTTGCCCGGGCTAGAGTGAGTGCCGTGGCGTCAGCCTAGCTCACAGCAACCTCAAACTCCTGGGCTCAAGCGATCCTCCTGCCTCAGCCTCCCGAGTAGCTGGGACTACAGGCATGCGCCACCATGCCCGGCTAGTTTTTGATATATATATATATTTTTAGTTGGCTGATTAATTTCTTTCTAATTTTAGTAGAGACGGGGTCTCGCTCTTGCTCAGGCTGGTCTTGAACTCCTGACCTTGAGCGATCCACCCGCCTCGGCCTCCCAAAGTGCTAGGATTACAGGCGTGAGCCACCACGCCCGGCCAAGAATGTTTTTAATTAGTCTTGTGGTGATGGGTCCTTTGGTTATTTCTGGCTGTTGTTACAGACTGTCGCATCCAGCAATCTTGTACATCCTCAAAACAGAATTGCTGGGGCAGGTTTTTGAGTTTTGATAGATACTGCCAACTTGCCCTCTGCAAAGTCGTGGTAGTATCTCTTTTTATAATTAGGAAGATGAGTTTAAAACAAATTTCAGCTGAACTGCACATAGAGGTTTGTCACATGCGCACCGAGTCACCTTGTGGCAGCATCCACCCTGCTGGTGCACACGGGCTCCCCGTCGATGAGCGCGGTTCAGGGTGAGTAGCAGGGTGGTCCTGTCAGAGAGGATGCTTGGCCCTTGCAGAGATGCTCCTTGGCTTTCTGTGTGTGCTTTCAAACCGGGAGGCTGGTTCTGGCCTGCACTCGTTATCCTCGAGAGGTGCAGCTGTGGAGCCTCCTAGCAGGCCCGAGAACCCAGCTGAGGTGTTTTGTTTCGGCGGACTGGGTCTTTCTGTTTGCTTGTCACACACAGACAACACCCACACTCATGTTCAGACCAGACCTGTACAGCCACGGGGCACTTGTCGGTCTGCTGCCTTTTCCTTTATTTGTTCTTTTTTTTAGAGACAGGGTCTCACTGTCTTGCCTAGGTCGGAGTGCAGTGGTGCAGTCATAGCTCACTGCATCCTCCAACGCCTAGGCTCACAGGTGCATGCCATCATGCCCAGCTAATTTTTCTTATTTTTTGTAGAGACAGGGTCTTGCTATGTTGCCCTGGCTGGCCTTGAACTCCTGGCCTTAAGCGATCCTCCCACCTCGGCTTCCCGGAGTACTGGGATTAGAGGCCTGAGGCACTGCACTTGGCTTGCCTTTTCCTTTGTAGATATATAGTTAGATCTTTAGGTCTTCCTTTGGCTTCCCACTGAAGGGGAGAGGCATTTTCATGCCCCTCATTGCCCCTGATGCCTGAGAGTTCGCTATGCGGGGTGATGTGCATGCACCTTCAG